CATCCCCCCCACCCCATATCTCACCCTTCCTCTATCTCAGTCCCTGTTTCCTTCCCCAATCCCCTTCATAATCTCATCATACTTCAGAGCCATTACGCTTGTCATTAGTGCCATCGTGAATATTTTACTAGAAATGAAAGGAATGTAAGGATTACCATATTCTTAAATGCTATTGTTATTTGTTGCTGTAATATTTTTTGCTACATTGTGTTACATGCCTGCGCTCAGAATGCAAAAATCAGAATCCCAGAAAGCTTTCACTTACCAATGTTCCATCTCTGCTCCTCTTATGTCATGAAACCCTTTGACTTCTGCCGCTCACCAGTCCATTCGAAATTGGGTATGTTTTAAAAAATTAACTATTTTGAACACGTGTGTGTTTGTGTGAACAAAAACCCTTCAGTATAAGTGGAATGAGGACATGAATTACAAGCTATGTGAACTGGATAAAGCCATTTAGTTTAAAAGATTGATGTCTTAGTACAGTATGTGCAGTAATAGAATCATTTCTTAGTATGTACCATGGATGTGAGAAAAGGATTTGAGTTTAACTATTTGTGTTTCTATGGGCCAAAAGGAACATGGACACAATATTCAAGTTTCCTGGGGAAGAATCATGCAGGGGCTTCTTCCTGGTCTCCCTGCTGGTGGAACAGGCTGCATGCACAGGGATGGAGGTAGGATCTGTCCCCCTGGGAATGCCTGCATCACCGGACAGCAGGTGAATGCCTGTGTAATTGCCTGAGATGTCACCATGGTCCGCTGGGACAGCTGAAGCCTATGGCATGGACATTCGCATTCCTTCAGGGAATTGCCATGGCGATGAACTCCATGCTGACACAGAACAATCATGGTGTGCATGAAGGTCTACTGATGGTGAACAAATCCCTGCTGAAGATGAAGGAGGTGTTTGGACTCATGCGCAGTAAGTCTCAAATCACCCCTCAGATGGAAAATGTCTTCATTCTAATCAGCTTGCGTGGTCTTTCAACCACAAATCCTGGATAAGGCTGTGGGAGACCCTGTCTGTCTCAGGCAGCACAAGGTGGGGCTATATCCTATACAGGATGCCAGTTCATCACAGGGTACCTACAGTACATGCACACATTCAGTCAAACACCACAAGCAATTTAGATACACCATAAAATAAATCTGCACAAGCCTGCTTCAACCTAATATTTGATGCCTCAAGAAAGGCATCAGACGTTTGAGCCAAAAGAGTAAAATTTTCAGATGACAAACTAACAACTAGGTGTCATCATCATCTATCATGCTGTTAGTTACAGTCCTGCTCAAAGAAGTAATTAGACACCCCAAAGCGCAGTAAGCCCAGCCACAGAAGGCTGTCATTGTTCATGAATAGTCTGAACATTTCTCCACTTTCTATTTTACTTGTCTTTGCTTTGAAATGTTTCCTTTTCAAAAAAAAGTGTCTGCTGGAATTTTAATTGCCCTGTTTATTTCTTTCATAGAACACGTGGAGCCCGATGTATTTTATGGCACACTGCGGATCTTCTTTACTGGGTAAGCTTCTTACATTCACCATTTCCCGTAAGAAATGCAGTACAAAGAAATTCTTTGTGATGTCAGAAAGGGGAATGGGAAGGGCTGAAGGCACCTCAGATTCCGAGCACTTTCAGGCGCATTCAGTGTTTGGTAGAGGGTTCCTCGAGTGTCTCGAGAGCTATAATCCTGATTCTGTCGCTTTGTGGCCACAGGTGGATGGACAACCCCACCCTGCCTGAGGGGCTATGCTATGAGGGGGTCTCTACAGAGCCTTTGCAGCTGAGGGGGGGCAGCGCTGCACAGAGCTCCAGCATCCAATGTTTTGATGCTCTTTTGGGTGTCAAACAAATGGAAACCTCAGGTGAGCCTGCTGAGTTACGGAAGCCCCTCCTCTTATTTTTTAGCAAAGTG